TTCCCTCAGCAGTGTATTTTTAGTAGATCTACCTGTTCTGCTCCCCACTCTGTCTCTGGTGAGTCCTCTCACCCCCTCACACACACACTTCTAGCCTACATTCCAGTTCTTATTTGCATAAAGAAATTAAACTTTGAAATGTTTATTTATATAAAGTATGTGTATATATCCCATCCTGTGTGTGTGTGTGTGTGTGTGTGTGTGTGTGTGTATGTGTGTGTGTTAGGGTTTCATTCTTAGCCATATGTGTAAAAGAATAGATCTAGACTTGAGTCTGTGTTTCTGAAGAGTTGAATGATTGGGCATTCAACTGACAGTTATCTTCAGGCTGAGAAAAAAACAAAGAGAAACAATATTTGGGTAAATGATTAGTGCATTCTATTTTGGCACAATGAATTCGAGAAGTTTTTGAGACATCCAGGTGGTATAGACCTAGTGGACAATTTGATAAGTGAGACCAGAATTCAGGAAAGGTTGTGAATTAAAGGTAAAGATTTGACAGTCACTCACCTGTAAATGATTATTGGAATCATGGGAGTGGATGAATTCACTCAGAATTAGCATTTTAGCAAAATATGGGTCCTCCCTGGTGGCACAAGGGGTAAAGTTGAAGCACTGTGACGCTATCCACAGCAACTGCAGCATGAGTTCGATCCCCGACCAGGGGCTGACCCATATGGTGCAGCAGACCTCTCCTGTCTCATTCGCTGTTCCCCTTGATTTGCCTGTTCTGCTCCCTGCTTTGTCTGTGGTGAATCGTCTCTTTCCCTCACTCTCCCCCCCCCCCAAACTCTGGCCTGTATTCCATGTCTTGTATGCATAAGTAATATATAATTCTTTAAAAAAAAAAAAAAAAGGTGAAATGTACCAAGCATTTAACAAAATATGTAGCGTTTACTATAAGCTATTTACTGTTAACAAATCAATCCCTTTCAACTATTATTGTACTACTCATTTTATAGAGGAGAAAGCATACATAGAGATTAAGTAATTTTCCTAGCTAGTAAGTGACAGAGCTAGGATTTAAACCTAATCCAACTGCGGAGTTGATAGACTTGAACATGAAACTCTGCTGCCTTTTTGATTGAGACACATCTGATAGATACATAGTTTATTTAAGCCCTCAAACCCAATAGTTGCACTTGAGATTAATGTAGTTACCACCTTAGTGTTGATGAGAAGGTCACTGTTGCTAACTCCAAGGTCTGAGAAAAGAGTCCTTAATATCCTTAAATGGTGATGGTTGTCCAAAAGACACAAAAACACTGATACCTGCACCCCCATGGTTATTGCTTCTTTATTTACAATTGGAAAAGACATGGAAACAGCCCAAATGCCCAAAAGTGGATGACTGG